GACAACAATGATGACTCACCGAGTGGCTGACAGTGTGCCTGCCATGGTCCTGCTGCTTTGCCTGCACTGCTTTATCCGTGTTACTTTCACCGTAACTACGTCAGTGCTGTGTGGCCAGACTCACCAGGCAACCTCTCTGGACCTTGTTTCTGATCTGTGAGGACACGAGGGGGAGGCGGAGGCTCAGTGAGTGGACTGTCCATGCCGTGGGGTGGCCTCCTGCTAAGGAACGGCCTAGGCCAGTGGTCGGCAAACTCATTAGTCAACAGAGCCAAATATCAACAGTACAACGATTGAAATTTCTTTTGAGAGCCAAATTTTTTAAACTTAAACTATATAGGTAGGTACATTGTTATTAACTTAATTAGAGTACTCCTAAGGCTTAGGAAGAGCCACACTCAAGGGGCCAAAGAGCCACATGTGGCTCTCGAGCCGCAGTTTGTCGACCACGGGCCTAGGCTTTCGCTGTGGCTGTTCCCGGACTCACGCTCCAGGCGCCGGAGCGGCACGCACAGCCAGTGTCGGGATGCAGCAGGGGAGGCTGGCATCAGCCCTGGGTCAGAGCGGCAGTCTGTCCTGCAGGGGACACAGCGACCCTGCGGGCAACCCCGGCTCAGAGACATCGGCCTCTTGCCCAAGGTCACGTGGCCAGTGAGAGCAGACGAGGCTTTAAACAGCTCTGTCGACTCCAGAGGTCGTGCTCCTCCTGTCAGTCCTAACACCAGGCAGCAGCTCTCCTTTCCTGACTCCTTTGGCTCTAATGCCTACAAGATCTAAAGTTTAATTCCAAATTGAACACAGTCAGAAATAACATCCTCCTCTTCTACCTATACTGTCACAAGGTCGAGCAGGCCAGCTAGTGAGCTCACCGTTGCTGGAGGGAAGCAAGCAGCAGTGACCATGCCTCTGGCCTCCACCCCTGAGCCCACCCTGCTCACAGCTGCCTCTGTTTCCTCCAGGTTGGGACCCGGCCTCCTCTCACCCATGGTCAGCCCACTGAAGGGGCTTGGGCCACCGCCGCTGCCACCGTCCTCCCAGAGCCATTCTCCGGGGGGCCAGCCCTTCCCCACGCTCCCCAGCAAGCCACCCTACCCGCCCTTCCAGAGCCCTCCACCCCCGCCTCTGCCCAGCCCCCAAGGTAAGCCCTGGCTGCGGCCTCTCCTGCCCACACGGACTCCTGCTAGGTGCCCAAGAGGATGGGACCCCGACCGGGGGGAGGCAGGTGGGCAACAGAGTGACAGCAGGCCCTGAGGCCTCACCGGAGAAGCCAGAGTCAGGGTCTCAACACGCGGACTCAGGGGCACTCCTGGAGGAAGTTTGTGCTGAGGGGTGGAAAACAGCTTGCTCATTGATAGGGCTCTCCCAGCAGGGGCAGCAGCATGGCCGTGGCAGGGAACAGCTGCTGCTGGAGTGATCTCAGGAGAAGGGTGAAGGGCCACAGCCCCTTCCGTCAGAGCACTCTCATCAGCCACCACAACTCCGGTGCAGCCATGAGGCCCTGTCGCCCACGCCCTCTGGCGCGGGCAGATCTGGCACCTCTCCACCCTGGGGCTCCCCGCTCTCAGTCACACCCATCATGCCTGTTCAGGAAG